TCGCTCTACTGATTTTTAATGAAGATCTAATTAAATTTTACATAACGGTTGAGCACCATTACGATCATTATCTAATTGAGTGCGCTACTTGAGAACACCCTAAGAATTCAACCGACTTAGGGTATTAAAGTCTTACGATTACAGTACATGATGCTAGAGTCATAGCAATTATTATTATAGTCCGTAGTACCTAAATAAACGAGATCAATATTTTCTGGGTCCCTGGTCCGGTGCCTACCATAATGATGTATTATGAGTTTTCCTGATTAAAAGTTAAATGTCAGAAATCATATGTGAATGTTTTTTTATTATACTAAAGCATAGATATAGGTACGGATTTGAATTTTCAAATTTGCATTTTGATACAATAATATAATTCAACTAATGATGTAAAACGTCATTTTGCTACCCCAAAGTATTTTATCATGTGACCTAGCAACACGCTAAATATTTAGCTATACTCTAGTATATATACTAAGAAATTTAAGAAACACATATGGTTTGAATAACAAAAAAGTACAAAAATTTTATATTTTTCAATAATAAACACAACATTACTAAATTTATCTATAAATATATTTACCCTACATAAACATCCATTAATTTTATAAATATATAACACAAAAATCAATTTTATTGTTCGGGGGCCCAAAACCTGAACCAGAAATTTACAAGTACCCCAACGAACAATAATCCACAAATGAATGCAGGTCCGAATCGATCTTCATATGGTCCAAAAGATCGTTTCCTAATCATGTAGACTCGCCAGAGATACATTCCAAGTGCATAAAGCATAATCATAATTGAAACGAACATAAATGTTCCAGCCACAATGTTGGATACTTCATCGTTTCCAAAGTTTAATAATCCAAGAGCAAGCCCATTTATAATAATGCTGAAATGTAACCATGATAGTAAAGTCCTTTCATTTGCGAAAAATACCTTAGGTTCAACGCGAACAGGTACTGCGACACGTCTTCCCTTATAGAAACGTGGAACCGTTAATGAAGAAGCTAGTCCACCGGAAGTAGACGCAATGATAGGTTCTTCATCATCTTCTAATACATTTCTAGATGGAGTTGTCCATAGCCATCTGGATTCTTGTTGTTCGGTATCATTAATCAATTGTGTTTCTTCGGTAATTTCATCATCATTATCTATTTGAACAGTAATACTTTCTTCTTGTCCAGAACTTCCAGAGCTCATTGGGTCACCATTCTCATTAGACGGTGTATCAAGGGCACCTAGAGGTCGATGAAGACCATAGTTACCTCGCGGTGGCTTGTGAATGTCCACACTCATCTGTGGAAGCCAAAATGGTAAAAGATGAACTCGATCTTCTTCCACAAGGGTCGAAACACCATGAATAAACTTGGAAAATTTAGGAACGGCCTCGACCTTTATGAATGGTTTAAAAAAGAAATAATATTAAAAAATTTACTCAAATTATAAATAAAAAAATTCAAAAAATGAAAATGTAACTTATAACAAATAAAGAAGTAAACAAACCAGATGACTGTGTACTAATTCTTGGACCCATTCAGGAGGCTCTTGACCAAACTGCGTTTGTAGTTTGACTTCCAAAACTGCATAAGGAAATCTCTCAACATCTTCTTCAGGTAACTGTGAAAATGGATAATCTATACCAATATCCATTCTTCGCCAATTGTCACCACTACGGGTAACATCTCCATAGTTATCTTCACGAACCATAGTAAGTTCAGTGTCAAGAGATATACGAACTCGAGCATCACCAGGTAATTGAAATGCAGTTCTATTATAGAAGGTACGTAGTACTAATCAAAAGAAAAAAATTATATTAAAGATATCAGTAAAGTAAGCAAACCCGGTGCAACAATCATTTTTATCAGTAATATTAACCTGGTTTCAGCCTTTTATCGAGAATGCGATATTGTACTTCGCTAGCCAATCGTTCCAAGTCACTAATTTCTTTATCACTTTTTCCTTTATCTCGCAATTTTTTAAAATCTTCATTCATGATATGTTGACCACGAAGATATCTATTGACGTTTTTCTCTTTTATTTGAAACCGTTCTTTTACAGATTTTTCACCAGTCCAGTCTTCTCTATGCGTCTTACGTTCAACAAAGATTTCGCTTACATCCATTCCACCATACCATCGTAATCGAATGGCTTCGGCACCTTCAGTCTTTTCCAATCGTCCAAGATAAAGATCAAAATCATCGTTATCAAAATATATAGACGTGATAGCAGAATCAGCTTGATCAAATTGTTTATGAGGATTAAAAACTAGGACAGGAAGATGCTTCAGTATAAGAAGTTTGAGTTCAGTGATATTATCCGGATGAACCCAATATTTGGTAGTGTTGCGTACAAAATTTTGTTGTTGACCACCAGAAGCAGAGTTACCCTTTACTGGATTACCACGAGTACGAACAATATCATAGAGACGCGATAATTTAACAATCAACGCATCATAACTTTCCTTAAAAAATGGTTTGGCATTTAAACGTGACATATACATGTATTTAATTTCCCTTTTTGTTTGTTTCTATAAGTATTAATTCCATTGTTAATTAATTGAGTGACAAATTTTGCATTTATTATGTGAATAAATTGTTCATTGATACTTACGTCATGTTTTTTGATTATTTTCAAGAATCCAGAATAATTCAAACGAGAAAATTTAGCAAGGTCATGTACGTCAGCAATTATTAATGACAGTTCTTCCTCGAGTGCAAGGTAGCGATCTTCCGTCGCATTACTATCTTGTAATACATTATCAATTTCTTTTTCACAACTTTGAACTCTTTTATTTATGTCTTCAGACATAGACGTCTGAAAATCGTAAACTTTATCGAGCTCCTTTTCAAGAAGTTTGAGAAAAGAGACTTCGTCCTCTTCGCTCCATGGACCATTGCGAATTCGGGTTTTTATTTCACGTTTGAGATCATCATAAGCAAGATAATATATAGTCCATTCCGGATAAAGAGAAGTTTTCAAATGATGCCCAAACTTCATTATAAAAATTGGTCAGACTCTTAACTCACTTCACGTTTGTTATTATAGTCTAAAAACCACTATCCCGATTGCATATAGCAGTTTTTCACAGGATCATGATAATTTTGTTAAATTAAAAATGGGCACCCTTTGCCTCCCGATCAATTCCTTTTAACGATAACGATTTTTAATTTATTTCCCATTCTGTTAATCCGGTAAAAATTCCGATAACGATAAGTTTGGTGTTTGATAAGTTTGGCGTTTTTTTTTTTTTTTTTTTTTTTTTTTTTTTTTTAGTTTTTTTTTTTATATTTTTTGTTTTTTTATATTTTTTTGAAAAAAAAAAAAAAAATTCTTCC